CCCTAATGGACTACAACAGATTTGGGGTTTTGTAAAATATCTAGAAATTAATTAGAAAAATTATTAACAAGGTTTTTTATTGATAGTTAATAATAAAGTTATAATTATGTTGTTCTTTTTAATAAAACAATAAATAATGCATAATAAAATGTTTCAAAGGGTTCTGATTTTGTGATATTCCTAAATTATTATTAACACATTAAATGCCATGAGGGTCAGCGTTGACCGACGTTAGTGGAGGATTTACATTCAACAGTTTTCTATTGGGAGTCAAAGCAGTCAAAGCATGAAGCTTCAGATTGAACATTATTGAGGCTATTACAGGAATTCTGTAGAAGAAACCCTATCAATGTGACATAGGGTTAGAAATGTTTTAAGCCTAAAACAAAATAAAATAGATACAAAATATCACAATATAATCTTACCTGTGGATGTACGTAAGCATCCCTAATCTTGTCATGCAGCAAGCTGCGCACCAAACCCTGTGACTTGGGCGATATCTTCTGTGGCTTATAACTAATGTGCAGCTGAGGTAGTGAGCCCGAACCTGGACATGACATATATTTGTTAATGTTATACTAAATAAGCTATAAGTTATTATATAAAGCTGAAGATTTTGTTTGTTTGAACGCACTAAACTCTAGAAGTTCTTGTCCGATTTGAATACTTCTTATATGTTGGATAGTCCATTTATCGAAGAAGGTTATAGGCTATAAAACATCACGCTACAATTAATAGGAGTAGATCAGAACGGGTGAAACCGTGTGGAACTAGCTAGTAAGTGTAGAAGTTTCAACCTAAGTCTGTTTTGGGATAACTAACAAGTCTTATAGTTTTTTTTTTATAGAATACTAGCTTATGCCCCTGCCTACACCCACATTCCTTGGGATAAAAAATAGTCTATGTGTTATTCCAGACCATAATCTATCCTTGTTCAAACTTCATATCCCATTCAGCCATTATGACATGATTGAGTAATAAACATTCACACAATCTTTCGCATTTATAATGTTGTTAGTAATAAAATATCTTTCATGAATTCATTTTTAGTGAACTTTAGTAACAAATTCATTACTTGCAAACAGGAAATGCCAAATTTATTTAGATTTAAGATATAAAGTGTTCTTGTAACCTATTTGAAGAAGCAAATAAATATTTATTGAGTATAAGATCACCTGTTATTAGTTTGATCATAAACAGATTGTAAAACTACAAAGAATTAAGCTTTTCCCTTTGTTTAAATAGGAACATTGTAACTTATTCATTTATATTATAAGGGCACAATACAATACCTAGCACCATAATATTATAATAAAATACAATTCTGTTTACATCCACCTACATTTTTAAATGTATTACATGGTGTAAAGAATGTAAGTCAATCAAAGGACATTAAAAACGCAACAACAACCACTGTGTAGGCTATAAATTAACATGTAAACGATAATTAATTGATATCTGTACACAAATAATTACGTCGACAAAGATGTCCAAATATTGACTTTCGTGATCAGACAAGACAGTAGAGACAAGTGTCTCGATGTCATACCTTCGCTCGCCGCACAGGATTCCGCGTGTTTTAAACATTTTTGGAATACAGGATGGAAAAACAAATCAAATAACTCAGTTCTAGCCATTTTATAAACTTAAATATGTTTAAATTCATTAAAATACACTTATTGTAATACACCTATAACCTCATTTTTTTAACGATGTCTACATTGTTATATAACGCAATTTTAATAGAGATTCAAAATAAACGATTCTTTTCGGTTAAATATCACAGTGAAACTAGGGTTAATCATAAATATGTTAAAATTAAGATTTTTTTACTACAAAACCGAAGCCTATTGACAATTTGACAACTTTCACAAATTTGACATTTCATAACTGAGTGTTGCCATTACGAATATTTATTTTTTGATAAAGCTGTTCGGATACACGTCTAAAATAAAAAGAATTGATAGTTGGAAATATACGAACGATCTAAATAGAATCTTACCTTCATCAGGTTCCAAATTGCCGGCCAACATTCTAATAAATGTAGTTTTGCCAGTACCATTCTCTCCCAGCAACACTAAAATTTCAGAATCTGAGAATTCTCCAGGGTGTACTTTCAAACTGAAATCACCCATCAATTTCGACATCTCTGGGTATTCATAATGGTTCATTCGTTTGATCTGCAGAAAATTACAAGAATTTAGAGACAATATTGACAAAAGTATGAGTTAGTTTAACAACACTAGTAAAAAAAATTCAGCATACCTCTTCTTCAGTGGCGGACTCGGCGACTTTAAATACTAAAGATTCAGTCCTGAATCTCATATTTTCAGTGGGGACAAATCCATCAAGGAATATATTAATACCTAAAATATAAATATGTTTTAGTACACATCAACTAGAATCAACTCAAGAACAACTAATTTTTAAAACTTACCTTCTCTAACAGAGAAAGGCATAGTCACAACACCGTAAGCACCGGGTACGCCATACAGACAGCAAATAAAGTCAGACAAATAGTCTAGCACTGACAAGTCGTGCTCCACCACAATAATAAACCTGCAAAGAAAAATAATTGGTATCAAAATACTATACTAAATAAACAATATACTATAGGTCCTAGGAATATAACATGTCTAAGGAAATGTTAAAATTGCTTACTTGTCAGGGTGGATGAGTGATCGAATTGTGCGGGCAGCATTAAGACGCTGCTTGACATCCAAGTAGGAAGAAGGCTCATCAAACATGAATATGTCTCCATTCTGGATGCACACCATAGCGCAAGCAAAGCGCTGCAGCTCTCCACCAGACAGGGCGGCGATCTCACGATCGCGGATGTGCGATAGATCTATGTAGGAAAATAGAAAATTGATATTCTGCTCCCATTTTGCATTAAATATAAATATATTGGCTCTCTGATAACTTACCCAGCATTTTACAAATTTCAGTCTGGTTTTTTCTTTCATCTTTCTTGTCAAGGAGTTGACCGACAGTGCCCTTGACAGCCTTAGGGATTTGGTCCACATATTGAGGCTTGATCAGGGCTTTCAAATCATCTTCGAGGATTTTCGTGAAGTAGTTCTGTAGCTCAGAGCCACGGAAGTGAGAGAGAATCTCTTGCCAGTCTGGAGGGTCCTGTTTTGAAGGTGCAAGTTGTGGTCTCAGAACATGACGAAATGCAATTTGTTTTTCTTTAAATAACTATTACATAATCTATGAAATGGTCGTGAAAGACCACTTGGAGCTTATTAATAAATACAAGAGTTCAAAAGATAAGTAAATCTGTTCACAAAGCACAAGTCATTTCAAACAGATAAACTAAATAAGAATGCTATCATTGAGGGAGTTCCAATATTGTTGTGTTGGCAATTTTATTACTTGTGCATTCTGTTCAATGTTGTCTTTATTCAGTAAATTGGGGTTACTGTGTTAATGATATACTGATGTTATTTTTTTTACTGGAACATTGGTACTTTCTGATACAAGAGATACAACAGGTGAATTGCATAACTGAAAGTATTAACATGTGAAATTGGACAAATAAAACTCTAGAATTATAATTAGGTGTATCAGTACAACCAATCATTCATGCTCATAATTTGACTTTGACAACACAGTGAAAGGACATTTTTGATTAATTGGATGTGCTGTAGTTTTTACAAATTATAAACAAAAAATGACTAATTGTAATAAAAAATATTACATCTTACAGCAAAACGACCCAAGTTGGGCTTCTGTTTTCCAGCGAGGATCTTCAGGGCAGTGGACTTGCCAATACCGTTTTGGCCGACTAATCCCAGCACTTCACCAGGCCTGGGGATGGGCAGCCGATGGAGCTTGAAAGAGTTCTTGGAGTATCTATGAGTAGTATGCTTCTCCAAGTTGGATGGGATGTTGATAATGGTGATTGCATCAAAGGGACATTTCTGAAAAGGTGTTTGTTATTAGAACCATATGTTAACTTTAAAAAGAATTTATAGAATGACTGCATATTCTTAATTACTTATTTGTGATCAATTCAGGACATTTCAGACTAACATCATCAAAGTTATCATGCACTGGCTGAGTTTTCCTATTAGAATAATATTGGTATCATTGATAATTTGCTAAATAATGCTCCCTTAATGACAAATACGGAAGACATTGTGTTTATATTAATCAGCAAAATTATGAAACACGTTCTATAAGTTGTATAGTCTTACCTTGACACAAATACCGCATCCAATGCAGAGTTCCTCGGAGATGGTAGCGATCTTATCGTTGGGCGTGACCTCTATACAGAGTTTGCCCATACGCACCACGGGACAACTCTTCTTGCATTCTTGCCTACATCTCTTCGGCTTGCAGCGATCCGCGTTAACGATAGCAATACGCGTAAGCTTGTCGGTCTCCTCTTGGTGTTTATTTCGAGACATAACTGTTTACCGAAAAATAACACTTTAGCACCAAAATTTATCAATAATTAATTAAAATTATACGAAAACAATCGTCCGATATGTGGCACAGACTTTGCTATAACCTCAACTTTTAATACATGACAAATAACTATTTATGAAACAAGTATTGTAGGTTCACTTCAGACAAACTTTATTCCTTGTAAAATGTCCTAGATAAATTAAAGTAAATTTAAATACCTGATAAAAGAAAGCGAACGCTGGCGATATTTTGCCTACGTTCGCGTGTCCTTTTACATCGAACTCGAAATGTCAAAAGGAACAAACCATTGTGAATATAGCATCACTTGGCCAAGTGGCATTACGTTCAAAAATATTATTTTATTTCGTACGTCTGAAGATTTGAAAATGAATCATATTATAGTATATAAATGGTCTTCAAAAAATGAATTTTAATTTGAGTGAATTCAGGTATGATGAGAATTTATGTAGAGTTCATAAACTTTGAATTAAAAAACTGGAACACCAGAATGCTTGGAATCTGGTAACACCGGACCGGTTTTGTGATTAACTATCACACACACAAGTCTTTGATCACATCAAAGTTTGATGATTGATTTGTGACGGTGCAAATAAAGTTTATTTTAAAAGTTTCATTAAAGTGTTTGTTCTGACAAATCCGTAAAACCAAACTAAAACTAGGTTCATATTACAAAAAATAAAGGCTTCCCAATCTTTTTTGAAGCAATTATCTGTGCCTGGGTATTACAATACAGGTATATAGATCTGCATATTTTTATGGTTAAGTTTTGTGCTTGGTTTTGTAGGCAAATACATAATAATATACAGGTGTAAACGTAAAACGGTAAACGCTTTCGAAAACACTGACAATTTATTTTCTTTTTTAAATTCTAATCGTTTTTGTTTTCGTGTTATTCATTCAACATTAACCTTGAGTAGTTGATTACAACTATAATTAGGTACATGAAACTTTTTATTTATTTGTTATGATTTTTTTATTGTGTATTATTTTTACTTTCTTGAAAACAAAATTTTTTACCGTCACCTGTCTTCGTTTTTTGGAAGTGTCCCGTTTACACCCTGTATAGGATCCTTAAAGGTTTTTTTTTAAGGGGGGGAAAATCATCGAATGTCTGCTCCCGCCTGGGTGACGCGGGAGGCAGTGTCAGACTCTTACTGACTAAAAACCACCCCGTTCCTACTCCTGCACGTCGAGCCGGAGCTTATAGGGTATATGCTTATAGGGTACGAGCACTAGTAGTCAGCCCCGCGATTGCTAGTCGGCTCGACTACTCGATTGCTAGTTTAGATCTTTTGAGATAGACAACGGTCATATTAATCTTTGTCTATGATATAAAGTTATTTATTTTGTCCTTTCTACTATTGGCCTACACAATTTACGCAAGTCCGTGTATGATAAGCCTATTAACGTAACCGGCAAATCATTCGATTCGATGCTGTGAACGAAAAATCATGCAATTTTACGAGTACTACGGCAGCCAATTTCTTTTCGAAAATGGTAATTATTTCAATGATTTTCAATAACTATTATGCACATTTTTGTTGTATTATCTTTATAATTAATTTTAGAACAAAAAAAATAGCTAGTAATATTCCTGTTTCATGCCAATAATAATAATTGATGTCAGGCCACCCTGACTGACCTGACTACTGGTTTCGGTTTTACTACGATTTTCTAGTGCTCAGCCACTCCGACCGAATACTGGATTTTACGCCATTGTCATAAAATACCAATACATGACGACATGACGTTCCACTAGCTTTGAGAACAAATCATTACATAAAACAGAAACACTACATCGATATTAAAAAGAGTTTGAGGTATTTCTGAACAACAGAATCTAATAATGTTTAATATTTCACAAAAGTTACTATTTGGTAAACCAAGTTAATTTCATTGTACCTACGAGAACTTTTAATTAATATTATTTTTATTGATATTTTTATTAATTAAGTAGCATTGCAATACACCGTATAAAAGACTGATTATAATTATGTTACAACATAGGCCGAGCACTATAGGGTCAATTTGGCCGACTTGGTCCTATGTATGAGTATATGGTCTCACGTTGGTACCATGCTGACTTCGTGCAGGGTATGATAAAACATTGCCAACTGTTAATGAAGGATGAGCAAATATGGCGCGCGCTTTTTAAACCAATTTGGTTAAAATAGAGCATGACATTAAATTGGAAAGCTATTACCCACAACTGAGTAATGCTAGAATGAAAAGACGTGAAATTTTTTACATATCTACATACACATATTAGACTTGAATGTGAATTCAAATATTTTATTTAAATTCTGGAATGAAGTTCCTACATTTGTCAAAAACTTAACCCGTGACAGACACGATACTTTCTGGTAAGTATAAAATGTATGATAAAATGTATGCAACATTGCCAGTGCAATTTTAAAGTTTATTGTATCCAATTCGGTTGTGAACCCTCTAAGAAGACAGCGGAATCGCTGCTGTTGAATACTTCAAAATTACTTTCAACACTACTACGAGTTTGTAGGTTAGTTGGTTATAGGACATTTCGTTATTGTTTGTAGCTGGATGCAATAGAGAAAGGTAAATGGGTAGTACCTACAGGCATAGTCTGAGCCTCTCCCAATAGTCTTACTTTGAATTCACGTCCTTCAAATCTTTGTTTTAATCGAGACTGAATATTCTGGAGTTTGTATTGCCTCGCCAGTGTGCAACTCTATGTTCAATATCTCTAAATTAGCATTTGATATCATCTGTAAAAATGTGCAAAAAATCACTTTAATAGCATAAAATTATACATTTTTTTTATTTGAACCCTATAATTTTATTATACCTACTTTATTAGCAGAAAAAATTATATAACGAAGTAAAGTTAATCTTACTTTTATGCTGCTTAAGACTATAAGCTTTTAGTGGCAGAGTACTACATAAAACTCCCTTTTGTGTGTCAGAATGTTTGTTATTGTTTAAAACAATGTTTTAAATATGATAACATGGTTATACTATAAAAATCTTAAATAAATGACTGATTTAATTAATTTTATTATGTCACTGAATTGCCAGTTTATTATGAAACCAAGGTACGATGCAAATCTCAATATCCATTAAAAAACCGACTACTGGTGCTCTTACCCTTTATTACCCATTTACCGGGTGGGTAAATCTTATACAATTCTACCTACTTATACAACCTACCCTACATGGACAATAGCATTATTTTATGTACGCTTTATTTATAATTTTGATGAGTTTTAAAAGACAATAATATATTAATTCCACAGACAATGTTAGAGGTTTGTATAGACAGTTTAGAATCGGCGATTAACGCAATCCATGGTGGTGCCGACGAGATAGAAGTATGTAGTTCTCTCACTGAGGGCGGACTTACCCCATCACCAGGTTTAGTCAAGGAAATAGTAGAAATGGTAATTCCTCTATTGTTTGACAAGTAGATAGCTTTAAATTTTCTTTTATTGTTGACTTGATAACGATAACGACATGGTCACTGCTATATTATATTTTTAGGTGAATAATACAGCAGCCGGGAAACCAATCCGTAAATCATGTCACGATTGCGGTTGCGATAAATTAACGAAGGTACGGCCACTTGATAAATGGAGTGCGTTCATACAAGAACCTATTTATTTACCACTCAAAGTCTTTGTTTATTTTTACAGAGGGCGAAAGTGAATGTAATGATCAGATGCCGTACGGGCTCCGACTTTCATTATTCGGAACAGGAGATGGATACAATGTTATCCGATGTCGAAGTTTTCAAAGCTTATGGTGTGGACAGATTTGTTTTTGGGGCACTTACAGACTCTCAGGACATAGATGAGAAGAACTGCGAAAAGATAAGAAATAAGGCGGGTGGCATCCCTCTTACGTTCCATAGAGCCTTCGACGTCTGCACAGACCCTCTTTCTGCAGTCGATAAAATAGCTGCATTACGTTTTAGTAGACTGCTAACGAGCGGGCAAAAAGCTTCTGCTAATGATATCCAAGCTGTTCAACTTATAAAGGTACTTAACAGTACTTTTGGTGACAAAATAGAGATTATGCCGGGAGCCGGCGTGACTGTTGAGAATGCAAAGAACTTTATTGATATTGGCTGTAAAATAGTTCACAGTTCATGTAAACGAATCAGATATTTGCCACAGATTAAGAATGGATTAAGTATGGGTACGAGTGATAGTGAGCATGTCTTTGTTACTGACGAGACTATTGTTAAGAAGATGAAAGAGGTCCTAAGTATAAGTTGACCATTCCAAACATTGATTAATTATCAGAATCAATAACGTTTGCAGATGTAAGTAGAGTATAATTTGTAATGATACCACGTAATAAAGAATTTATCGAATCAAATAATGGTCGTCATTATATAATGTTGAACCCAGCTCATCTATGGCCCCAGGGCTTTGTTCCCGTGGTTCCTTTGTACTAAATAGTCGAGATTTATTATCTAGTGGCTTTAGGTATGTATCCATAATGGACCTGTTTCAAGCATAAGTTAAACTTAACTGATATAGCAATTAGTTAGGGCATATCGATACCATGATGATCGAGTGTTCGAATGGTCACAAGTAGAAAAGATTTGTTTTTATTAAGTACAATGGGATCTAAATCTAAAATCTAAGACCGTACCTTTCGGACGGCGAGCATGGGTGGCTCGCCGCCCGACCAGAACCAGACACGAGCGTACGGCGCGTCGCATTCTGTGCGACTACCATGCTCTTTGAGGCAAAGAGCCATCAGACTACCATGGATGGATGGGGCCCAATAGGGCTGATACCGATACGGAGCCGCGGAGAACCTAACGGGTTATCACGGCTCCGGCTCGAAGCGCAGAAGAAAGAACGGGGTGGTTTTTAGTCAGTAAGAGTCTGACACTCCCTCCCGCCTAACCTAGAAGATTTTCCCCCTTAAAAAAAAATAAAAGACCGTACCTTTTCGAGGATAGAAAACAAGATACGTTTTGCAACAAATCTAACTTCCTACCTATACACAGTAGGTATATGAATATAGCCAAAAGCGAAATACAACGGTTTGACTGCGAACAATTTTCCATCTAAAGAAAAAGTAAGCCCTTTTCCGTTCCAATTATAATAACGTAAAAACGTTTTGATACAGCTTTCTCCGACATAGGCATTTCCCACATATGTCGTTGTCTCACAAAAAACCTGCAAGCGTTGTTTCCTTACAAACATCGATTATATTGCGCTCCATTTATCATGGCAGTATATTGCAGAGGAAAAATGGCCCGCTCGCGTTTAATGATGCTATTACTGAGTCGAGGAAACAATATCAGGAGCGATGAGCGAGCTGACGATCCTATAATTGCGATGGCCTCACTTTATAGCGTTAACTTTTTTAACAGTTTGCTAATGACTCGCAAATGCCGCATCGTCGTGCTTTTTGTGAAAATGGTCAAGCTGTTGACAGATCGAATATACCTAAAAGCGCGGGAAAGTAAACGCGAGGTTTTTCTTTAGAGTCTTTAACTGTTTTTAAATCAACTAATAAATCCTTGGATTGGCCCCAATTATGAAAGAAACATAAAATATATTTTAAATGCATTTCGGTTGTTACAAAGTTGAATTTGTTAATTTGGTGATTGAATAAATTTTTGAATTGAGAATTCTTTGCTGAATCTCGAGTGAGAGTTCGATTAGCTAATTAATTAAAAAAATTGTACGTATTTTACCGAGAAAAATGCAATTTATTCGATACTCTAGATTATCATAATTTTCTTTTTCAGAAATGAAAGGTGTTTGGAATCCATGATTAATGAACACAACACTGTGCTTCATACCATTTCATTTGCATCAGATTCGCTCCGTTCCTTCATTCAAAACGAATGCCTCGCAAAAAACCGAATGAAGCTAACCGCGAAATTTTATTTCGGGTAAAAGTTTCATGTCTTCGTTTAATTTCGGTGAACTATTTTAGCTTAACGTCGAAAGATTTACATTTCAGATATGATGAGATGGGACCTACCTATTGACCCAATTTTTTTAAAAAGGTTTTGTTTCCTTTGAAAACGTTTTTTGGCAAATAAGGGAAAGAAAAAAATAAGAGGTAGTTACGGAATTTGTCAAAGCATAGGATGATTAATGATAATTTGCGAAAATGTCCAAAACGAAACCGCGATGCGGACCCCTCGGCGGCAGTGGCGCAGCCGGGACGCGCGGTCCTCGCTACAATCTTTTCAACCCCCCATCAATCATAACGAGCTTTTAAAAGACCTTCTGTTCCTGAGACTACAACATGTTTTCTCATGTTTTATAAATGAATGAATTAATTGCTTCCGCGGTCACGAACTCGGTTTGTCACAATTAAAGCATTTGAGTAGAAAGTTTAGATAAGTGATACCATAATTAATATGTTTCTACACTGAAATCGTTTAGTGAATCAAAATCATAATAGGTATATAACCTACCAAGATACAAGCTAAAAAGGGCCTTAATGTATTGAAACGTTTGATGACATGGATATAATTAGGCATGGTCTAGAATGAATAGAGGGACTATCAACACAAATAAATAGAACAAGCATATTATTATAAACAAACGAAAGGGTTTATTTCAGTGAATCAAAGTGTAGATATCTAGTATATTTAAAGTAACTTACACAATACCTACTTACAATTAAGTACATCTAGGGTATAAAATAAGGCTATGTCGTGAGATGTGAATATGCTTATTTTAAGGCAGTTCTTGCATACCGTGCATCATTAATTACTACTATTTACAACGACTTACATCAAGATCTAATATAAGAGACAAGAATTGGTCGAATTGCACGTTTAACACCTTACGTAAAGCATTCGTTTTATCTTCAAGCAAATCTAGTAGGTACAAAGTAAATCATTAGGTTTAAGGCAGTTACAGAGAGACTTATGTAACTAATAAATTTTCATTGTACAGTTATTTTACGAAGAATTATAGTAACTTTGTCCTATATCAAAAAGCCGTACAAATAAGGGCTTATCTGAACGTAATTTAGCTAAAAGTCTTCGCAAAATCACCTAATAAAACATACGAAGGTGTAATCTAATTAGGTAGATAATTGCACACATCAATTTCCATTAGGATTAGGTTTATATATTGTTGTCGGTCCAGAATTAAAGTACTGTACCTACTGCATATTGTTTATCGTTCAGACGAGAAATCTAATTTACATTAGTCTAGCATTATAGGTACAATGTTCAGTTGACCGGAATGGGATTTACACATATTTATAGTCCTTTACAAAAAGCGTAGTGCATCAATTCCTAGGTTTTTGACAGAACTACTTTCACAATGGCAGGTCTTCTCAATCTACGAAGGATGCCGGGAACATATCAGATCAATTTTTAGATCTAGGACGCAGTCGAGTGTTCCACAATATACCAAAATTGGAACACGTGTAGAATTGACTTTTTAGGGCAAATATTCTTAGTCTTCAGACGATGACTGAATGTCTGTTTGTCTTCTTGTCTGGTGCATAGGGCTCTAGCTTCGCAGGCTCCGTGTTGAGGGCACTGTAGTCAACGGGGAACGGAGGTTGGGGCAGTGAGTCCTTTGGAGGAACTAGGACCCACTGGCCTGGCCCATTGGGGTTCTTGCCCATCAGCCAGTTTGTGAAGCAGTGGACGTAAGTCCCGTAGTCCAGTATTAAGTAACCATTCTGTTGAAATGAAATAAGCAAATTAGTTCCCAAGTCTTGCTAAGTACCCAAGTAATTAGGGAGCCTAGGTAACGCGAATAATGTTGCTAAAGTATTCATAAAACTACTTTCAAATTCACAAATTACTCAGTAAATGACCTGCAGTACTAGGTCACACGTAATTTAGTAGAAACTCTTGCTCGGCAGACAGCCCCGTTTTAAATTCTATTACAGAACCAATTTTCAAATTGAAAAGTTTTCAAATTTAGAACAAAATAACTCACCATTTCAACTCTATGATAATAGAAAACTAACTGTATGGAATTATGGTAAAGTTGTGAATATTTTGTAGCAAACTTTATGCGCTGTGAAATTCTCGTTCATATATTCATGCTATGCTTGCTTACGCGAGTGTTGTAACAATGAAGAATGTAGATAACTTACGCTAGTCATGCGATCGTATGCCGTGTCTATAATCTCGTCAACTCGCGCCGCATTCAGCCCGATCACCGACCGGTAAAAGGCGCCCAGCGCTGGTTTGGTTATAGCACCTGTATCTGCAAATAAAAACACATACTTTAATAGCTGTATAGGCCTAAATTCCCTGAAGAGGTGGAAAGATTTATTGGTACACCCGCGTTCGACATTTCCGGGATTGGATACCGTGGGACGCCGCGAGCCTATTGATATTTTAGCGGGCACTGATCCAAATGTGGGGGTAGGCTTCCTTTGGAAATATAATTTTAGATCGTTTGGGAATTCAATTTATAGGTTGTATTAGCATAAACTTTGGTATTTACTACCTAAATAAGACAGGCCACAAAGTACCTGAGCCAGGTAAACTTGATGATTTTTTACCGACATATTTATATTAATATTGTGTTACAAATTGTTATGTTTCGAATCCATCATCGTGACGTACGAGTTTATGCTTAGCTTTTACCACGTATTGGTAAAATACGACGATGTTACTAAACCAAATGAGATCGTTCACCTTGGTAGCAGCTTCATGATAAATCGTCTTGGCTTTCTGAATCAACATGACAGAATAGAGCAATTCCGGAAAAAACTACGCCATGTGCCCGTTTTTATCTTGTGTATGGTAAGGAATAATATTCTTAGTAAATTATATTCCACCATCGCAGTAGTTTTAGTTAAGTTTACCTTTTGATTAAAGAGTAAGATATATTTCTATGATGCAAAGAAGTAACCAATTAATTTTGCTGCCTTAAAATTTGGTACTTACCAGTGATGCTGATGAGTACCTAAAATCTAGTAGCGGTTTCTGTATTTGTAGTACCTACTGAATAAAAGAAAGCTAAAAAAGGAACTAACTAGAGCACATTTAATAATGTTAAGTAAAATGTAGGTCACGTAATATTAAAATATTGATACAGAATTTTTTCAATAAATTCATTCGTGCAACAGCGAGGATAAGTCGTGTTTGCATTGTATAAAAAGTTAAAATAAAGTCGTAGACAGACGATAGAAGTAAATGTGCCAAAAGAGCTTTTCGCTTCAGTGTGCACCCGCTGTGATTTTGGCTAAAATCTTCGACTGAGGTGCCAAATATTTAGGCCAAAAGAACAACCTAACATTGTCAATTTTATTTAGTTTTTACCTACTTACGATGTTTTAAAACGTGAACATATTTTTAACATTAAACACATCGAACCAGAATTTATTACATTAATTTTTATTTTCTGTTCTTACATTTTGGATTTCGTCGTAATAAGTATCACCTGATAACATATTTTGCCAGAGAATTTTAGCAGCAATACAGTATCAGTATCATTTTACAAACTTTCCAGCTAAATTGTGTTAATAATTAACTTTAAATTAGTCATAAATTGGAGCTGAATGCCTATGGTGCAGGGAAAATTTCATGTAGAACAATTAACGTGATTCAGGGGCCTAGGGGGGTGATATCAGCCGCGGGAACTCGCCCGCGTCAAATTAATCCCGTCTATCAACCGATCCCGGGAATTGACACACGTCACTGGTACCTTTCTATTACCGTAAACAGAGCGAACTTAGCTTACAGAATTGAGCGGAAAATGAGACTTTTTAGGGTAAAAATAACTACGGACTTTTAAGCTGGTTTTGGCAGTGAGAAGTCGTTACCTTGGTCTACACGTACTTTAGTCTAGAAAGTTAGGCGGTCGAGTATGAATAAATGAAGTCGTGTGTGCTTCTGTGGCTGTCTTGAAGTGTGTTTATGTCGGGACAGTTTCTAGAAGTGTTTATTATTATGCTTTGTTAAGTTAATGTTAAGTTAAGAACGTAAAATTAAAAATGAACTTACTCGTCCTATCAATCACGTGGAAAAGTATCTTGCAGAGGTACTGCAGATACAGAGGAAGGTCTGTGAACCGTTTCATCTCACTGAGGTGTAGTGCCCACCGAGCCAGCCAGCCGTCCAGAGTAGTCCTGCCTGGCATGTTGATCCCGCTCGCTTCGGGGCCACACACCTTTCTATAATACGGCAGATCACCCCATCTGGAAAAAGATTGGAATTTAAATATTGCGAAAGAAAAGCAAAAAGGTAAAAGTTTTATTTGCAAATGTTTACGAATAGAAGTAAAGCACCTGGATGTTTGTATTTTCTCGCATATTTTTTGTACGTAACATTCAATAAAGCATGAAGTTTGGCGAGAGCATACGGTAGGGAATTTAATAACGAACGAAACTTAAGCACGTGACTTAGAAAACGGATGCCGCTCCGCTATGGTGATATTTCCTCAGTCTCGACTCGCTCTGTAGTTCGCATCCTTTTCTTTGTGTAAACTTTATTCTTTCTTCCATTAGCTTAGTGCTGGAACTAAATTCTACTGCCACATTATTGTAAGACTAAATAAAATAATGTGTTTTATACGGATCAGTGTTTGCTACGTGAAATTATTGAACTAAGTAATTATTAAGACAAGTAGGACACACAGACTGAACTATATTAATATATTGCCACAGCACAATTTTGTCCCAGCAAAGCGATACCGGCGGAACGCTGTTATATCATAAAATGGACGATTTTTTCATGAAAATGTCGGCCACGAAAATATACAGCCTACAGGATTGCATATTACATTACAAAGTGCTCATATTTTTGGGACACTTTCATGAAATGTCAGCGACCGGCTGATATTCATTTTTATGGGATATCGTAGTACTGAATGATGACGGCAGCACGTGTCTGTTGCGTATATTTTAGGTTAACTACCTTTATTTGCATTTCATTCTGAGTAGTTATAAGCAAAACGATGTTGTTACTTTTGTGAAAATACTATCAAGTTAACAAGGGATTCTTAGCTAAAGCAATTTAGGTAAGAACGCAACAATCCATGTTAAGAAGTAGTCCCCAAAATAAAGTAGGAACTTTAAAAAATTAAAAAGTTACAGGAACAAACACATGTGACAAACAGTCGGACTTACTTGGCTGGCAACGGATTGATGAAGTGGTCTATAAATTCCCGCTTTACTTCAAGCAGTATGTGGAACTCGGATGAGTTAGGCGACCAGTCCGCAAAATGCGCCAACCGCTGTGAATTACGACGAGAAACGAATTTAATTATTCTCTTTCATTATTCAGACGTTAGTTATGTGAGGTTAAAATGACTTAATGTTGAGTTTTAGAAGCTTAATTTGTTACATTTGCCTGCCGGTCTATTTACAGGTGAAACTCGACAGTTTCTCGCCTCCAGTTATGTTGACTACACAGGAACTCGAGGGCTTTTAAGATATAACTTCGTTATTTAATTCCGTTGAAGTTTTAACTGAGTTATTTGAACTGTGTCAAGTTAATTATATTTAAAGTCAGACTTGTTTATATTTAGGACGTTTCTGAGTACGATTGAGTCAATTAAGAAGTGGGTAATTCAATGAATTCTTGATGACGTCGGCGTCATTTACTTTAGAAGTTAGTATTCATTAAAGTTATTATTCTTGCTAAAATTACAAATGTATTTTTGTTAACAGTTCCTTTTGACCTTTAAATGCTGTAGCTTAGTAGACTTTTTAGAGGAAATACACGTACAGGCTTCTAATAAGTCATCAAACGAGCTAGAATGTCCAAATAATTTTACTGGAATACTATTAACGACAAACACAGATATAGATCAAAATTTGGTTGCTATTATGTACGTAGGTATCTAGAGGAGTACCAACTTAAAATTTAAGCCAAGAAGACTTAGTATAAGACAAGTATAGAAAGGCTCATTACAACAACGCAATTTTGAAGCTAACGATACCACAATGTTGATACCTTCCTACCTCGAAGAATTGGTCGAAATCTGTGTCTATGATGACGTCATCTCGGTCGTGGTCCAGTAGCTCGGTGAAGAAGAGGGTCATCTTGTCTGTTTGCATGGAACTGAGCTGGGCAAGGGGCTGCTCGTCTTCCAAATCCAGGCATTCCAAGTCTTCGCTGCACCGGTTCACCCATGTTGCTGTGGTAGAAGAAAGTTGCGAGTTAGATGGGTGAATAAACTTATAAAGATGTAAGAGATCTCTTGGGATTTGACCTAATAAACTGCAGGAATAATACGGCATATTAACATCACGTTTTGAAGAAGATCATCAAGGTTTAAACTGGCTATCAGAAATGAAAATTCCGTGTTACCTAATTTCGTCACCACATGATTTGAAACAATTTTTTAGTTACTGATTCAATGACAATTATTTTGGACAGTATACAATCAGATACACCCTTAAATAAGCCTGTAGAATCATATAAAAGGCACCATTCAGCAGTCATTTAACTCTTTATTGTTATCGCAAACGCTTTTGTTAACCTCAAGAAAAAAAAACATGTACGTAGAACGTTGATCATTTCAGCAAAGTATGCACACAGTCCATCTTTATGACAAAAATCGTAAAAGGCAACCGACCCTTGAGAATGTCTTTTCAATTTAGTTTGTTATAAAATGCCGTGTCACTATGAAACCGTTACGTTTACTGGTGGTTTTATGCAAAACCGATCACAATGTTTGATTAGAGCTGGGAGTAAAATCAAGTATTTTACTTCTTAGTTGGTTAACTGATCATCAAGATGTCTTTTGAATAATCGACAGCTTGTAACAGTTCACTACTGGGCTACGTGTCAAAACTTTTTATGAAACCATCACGTTTTTTTAAAAGGCGAATATCATCGAATGACTGCTCCCGCCTGGGTGGGGCGAGAGGGAGTGCCAGACTCTTATTGACTAAAAACCACCCCGTTTTTTCTCCTGCGCTTCGAGCCGGAGCCCCGGTAACCAGTTAGGTTCTTCGCGACTCCGAATCGGCATCAGCCCTGTTGGGCCCCTGGGTGGTCTGATGGCTCTTTGAGGCGCGCGCGGATGGCGATGTAACCCTCACTTGTTTTTTTAAAAAGTCCATAAAACCAAGTATAAAATAAACGACTGTCCGTGTAGATCCCTCTGACTCGACAATACACATAAAACTGAAAACAAATTCGAGCAATAATGTTTTGCCATCGATTGCTCGATTGAAATAGAGCGATAGTGCGATAGAGCACATCCCTAGAGATAGTGCTAACACCACAAATAAAACAAACTTTGACCGTGCATGAATTTAGTGTGGAGTCAAACAGTCGGGTAGTCGGGTCGTATGAATATATTCGAAGTTATTTCTGGGTTGGTCCACACTATTGTGTCACTGTTTTAAATACAGATTTGGCTTTAAAACTGCCTAGTTGGATTTTGTATTAATGTCTAGTTCAAAGATTTCACTAATAATTAAGTATAAACCGATTAGCGGATGGGAGAAACTGTAGCTTATTAGTTCATCACTAATTGTAGAGACCTTTATTGCAAGGGGGGAAACCTTCGAAAGCTGCCTAGCTTTTTATGGAAAAAGACTAGGGAGTCTGGGATTTTTACCTCATTAAAACCTTCCTGGTGGCCACTATCCGTACCTGAAGGAGGCCCCGGGTCCTCTTAGTAGACTGATTGTAGAACCCTATGTCCAGCAGTGGGAAGATACTTGTGCTCCGGCTTAATTTTTTAGTATCATTAATCTAGAGTTCGTTGTGACTCAATTAAAAAAAAATGATTTATGTAGATTTGGGGAGTACCTTGCGTAATCCGGTCTTGGATTGCGTTTGAATTTTGTTTATTTCTATAGATTTTTCCTAAATAAAGAATGCTCTTAAATTCATGATCATAAAATGATAAAGTTCCCAATTACAGAGCCACACAACTTATAATCCAGTGGGAACTACTTTAATCCACCTAAGCAGTCAACTAGTCTCCCGGACTTATTCAAGAATATGAGGGTGAACTATTACGCTACCATTACTGGCTAAGTTACGTTTAAAATAAATCGTAAAAGAGTAAGAAATGAAATGGAAACATGTATTTTTCGTTCGTACGTTGTAATCGTCCAACTTCGATATTTCCGGCGACTCGGCAGCTCGACTCCTCGATGTTTCAATTTATTGAAAACATTTTCAGAATCTGTGAGCTGTTTCGTTCAATGAACGTTTTCTTGTTTTTGTATGTAGTTCGCGTTCTGATCTCGCTTGTCACTTAGGTACTTACTTACATTGAAATGCATATGACAGAATAGTATGGTTAGGTATAGGTAAGTAGGTTTATGTATGCTATTGGCCAAGCATTTAATACCATGTAGTAATGTCAGATTGGAATATATTTGTATACCACCTTTATAGGGCACGGTTGGTTTTTGGATTCCTGCACGGAACAACACTTTGCGTGATACACAAATTGTTGTTTCGGGTGCTGGATCTCCTGTGTATGTGAACTTGTATGTTTGTAAACGCACCCACGACGCGGGAAAATCTTATTGTGGGGCAACGATAAAATAAAACAGAAAAAGGAAAATCTTAGTGTGGGGCAACGATAAAATAAAACAGAAAAAGGAAAATCTTAGTGTGGGGCAACGATAAAATAAAACAGAAAAAGGAAAATCTTAGTGTGGGGCAACGATAAAATAAAACAGAAAAAGGAAAATCTTAGTGTGGGGCAACGATAAAATAAAACAGAAAAAGGAAAATCTTAGTGTGGGGCAACGATAAAATAAAACAGAAAAAGGAAAATCTTAGTGTGGGGCAACGATAAAATAAAACAGAAAAAGGAAAATCTTAGTGTGGGGCAACGATAAAATAAAACAGAAAAAGGAAAATCTTAGTGTGGGGCAACGATAAAATAAAACAGAAAAAGGAAAATCTTAGTGTGGGGCAACGATAAAATAAAAAAGAAAAAAATAACTACCACTATTATCTTCTTGTGGGTGTCGTAACCAGCTAAGCGGCTACACATTTGACAAAGATCCGCTACTAGCAGTTCTCTTATAAACCCAAACCTTTCAAACTGCAATGGCTAAGGAGGACCAGCGTGAAGATCATGAAAAGCACTCTTATGTAGAGGAGGCTCATAGTTCTGTAGGTTCAGTAGACTGTTACTATGTCGAAAACAATATTCAGTCAGTTACGACTAAACAAAAGAGTTACGTACCTACTATCGTCAAGTTTCTTTTATTGCTTTTGTCGACAACAATGCCAATTCTCCGGTATAACTTTAGAGCTCCCAATCAACGGACTATTCGGAAACCAATACAATAGACTTTTTAACAAAAACTAGAGGCTCACTATGTAAACTCGTTGAAAACTCCAGGAGCAGTTTCAACGTGGAAACCAGTAGCTTTCTCAAAAGTGACGTAGTGATTGATGTTCATATTTTAGGATATTTCTTCAATGGAATTTCAAGCTTTTCGAGTGGTAATAAAATCTGCTAATCAGTTTTGTTAATTTGGGGCAGATTGGCGTGCCGGTGTCCATAATATCTATAGTTGATTGAGTACGTTAGGTACTATTCGGTGGTGAAAAAAGTAACAGCTTTACGCTCATTTTTAAACTACGGTTTTTGTTCTAGAACCTCGAGTTGTAGCAGATAACAGAATAGGAACAATGCATTGCTTACACAGAATTTAAAAAGAAAATTGTATAATTATTATATTTATAATAAACTTTTTGTTATTAAAAACAAACTCACAATCTTCTCTCCAAGTATGCAAAATAGCATACACACACAATGAAGCCATAACAAAGTAACTCCAAGTTAATATACCTCTACATAAAGTTCACAAAGCTTTGCAGCCAATTTCGGGGCCGAACGGATCAATACACTGTCAATTTTGATTTAATAATAAATAATATTACACACATATTGACTGATTTATTAGAAACTTCCTGCTGGCGAAATGACTGTGTGGCCACTAAAACCGCTTCTACTAATCAAGTTCTCACATGATTGTACGTAAGTATGCAATTTCGTCTTTTGTGGCTGACTTCGCAAGTTTGTCGAAGATTTTATTCAGAATGGAGGTGAAACCAACCAAGTTATTGGCAACGATAACTTTCTATGAATTTTGTACGAAAATACTAATTTGTGACGTCATAATTTTGTCCATGAACTAGCTTAGTTATCTCTTAATTGAGATACTTATTTTATGTATTTATTTATTTAATTTTAGCCATGGTCGTCCAACTGCAGGGCGAAGTCCGTGGAGGCCTTTGCCACCCTCTTTCCACTTATCTCTTCTTATAGCTTTCTATGGTTAATGAATGAGATATTACTTAGAAAAAATCTTAATGTCAAATCAAGCGATGCTAGTGTGATTTTTTTTTTTTTATGGAATATATAAGCCGGTAAACGAGCAGACGGATCACCTGATGGTAAGCAATCGGCGTCGCCCATGGACACCTAGAACACCAGAGGCGTTACAAGTGCGTCACCGGCTTTTTGGGGATTAGGAGTTTGAGGATCGTTGGGGATTCAGGGATTGGGGAGATTGGGGAAGGGGAAGGTAATTGGGCCTCCGGTAACCTCACTCACACGACGAAACACAACGCAAGCGTTGCTTCACGTCGGTTTTCTGTGAGGCCGTGGTATCACTCCGGTCGAGCCGGCCCATTCGTGCCGAAGCATGGCTCTCCCACACTTAAAA